TCAGGTACACCAACGTACCCTGTCGCATAATCGGAACAGGGTTTCCAGTCGAGTCAATCAAGGCAAGATAGTCTCGGGCCCTACGGTCCAAAAGCGGCATCCATATCAGAAGGCCGTAGCTTTTCATTCGTTTATCTCTCTCCTTCTTGTCCCCATTTTATCTATCTTCATGGTATCTCTCGTCGTTATTGCCGATTATTGCCATTGTCCGGACAAGAAAACTACTCTGCTGTACACTTGCGTTGGCCAGTTTGAATTCGGAAAAATCATGCCCGAAAATTGGAAACCGAGGACTAGCTAGGTGATTGCCTCCGGTGAAAGTACCGAGATTGCATCTGCAAGAACTTCCAACGAGAGCGGTCCAGTAGTGAGTAATACTCCTACAAATGCTCAGTTCGAACCTTCCATGTTTGTTGCATATAGGCTGTCCCCCAGCGAGCAACGCTCTATTGAAAATTGTGAATGCCTTCGACGGTGTGCAACTCTGAAGTCAGATTGGCAGGCCACAGACGACCAAGCCGAAGTCCAGCAAACGCTCCGTCGGCTAGAGCATCGGGACCGGACTCACGGTGTCTGGTCGTGGCTTGATGCGACAGGCTATATGGAAGCACAAGCCACCGAGTCAACACCGGGTCAACGTTTGCCGTGTTCGCAGTAAACCGTTGACAAAGCAACCAGCCGCGTGGGATCTCCAGGACATCGGAAGCGGTGGCCTATTTGGCTCCAGCCTGCTCGTGCCAGGTGAGGGCACTTGCTTGCACCATCGTCCATGGTCGGATACAAAAGCCCCCCCAGAAGGAACTCCCATGCGGCCATTAAGACCCGGCATCACCAACGGCATAGTCAGTACAGTCTTCAGAGCCTGCAAATTCACATCACAACAAGTGACGGGTTGGACTCGAAAGATTTGTGCAAGCCCTTGACATCTCTGCATCAGGATTGTCATTCCTTCCTTCCCCGTTCTTCTTCCCTACGAAACTTCAGCACGGATTGTACAACCAAGCTCTTGGTTTCTGGAACTGACAAGCCCTGGTCTCGCGTAGGCTTCGGGGTCTGCGGCTTGAGTAGAATCTTGAATTTCTTCCGCTGGCCAGACAACCTGGAAGCTACAGCGGCGATTCTTGCGGTGTGCCTTGGTCTGCGGGATCATGATGAGCGCTGGCACAGAGCACCTCTGAACTCTCCAACTTTAGAGGACAAGTTGTTGACTTCACAAGCGACTGCAGTCCATGAAGTCAGTGCATGGAAGTTTTCTCTCAAGGATGTTCCATGCTCTGAACCTTGATGCATACATGAGAGTCAACTTGTGACGGCATGGAGAATCGTGGGCCTGGTTCAGGCTTTACATGGTCCCCTTCGCATTGCTCCACATACTGGACGTGGTGAGGGACGCACTTCTGCAGTTGAAGCTCATGTCCCCAATGCTTTCGTACCACAGTTCGATCCGCACCTGCTTGTTGAACCCGTCGCGTGCGAGTCGTGTGCACGGAGGTTCCTAGAACAGACATGTAGCATTGCCATCATTTGTTGTGTGGGTACTGTCGTCGCTGCGTTTGAATGGCTAGCTTTTCGGGAGAGGCGAAACAAGGGAGAGCTGCACACGTGCATCGAAGCACGTGCTCCGAAGTTTTGCAACTTTTTCTGTCCTGAATTAGGGCGACCGGTGGGATCGAACTTTGGAGTAGAGGAGCTGACAGTTAGTCTGCGAGGCGAGGGAACCTGCGCTTGTTCGTCTTGTTTTCGCTTGTGAACCTGTCGTTCTGGGCGTCGACAGTGAAAGAAGACATGCTGGAGTACTGTCTGATGTCAGCAGTGGGAAACGACAGTGCATGAAATCATCCTTCCATTCGACCCTGTAGCCTAATTTCAAGACATGCCAGGCTAGATAATGATTTGTGAGTCTGTTCAGGCCAGACTTGGTATTTCTGGCACCATCCGCCGCACGCTGATTTCTGCGCTATTTCGCCGCTTCATGAGCTACAAGGCATCTCGGGCGTCCATGTAGGTTAACTGCATGTAACTCGCCACCCTCATCCGATGTACAAGAGCTTGAACGGATGATAACTTAATCATACAGGGCAAGAGATTGGTACTTGTGTTGAGCGGTGGAGCACTGCTCATGCGTTTCATGTAGATGCACCAGGCCTACGAGCGGGCGAAGATGCCTCACGGCTTCCATTCATAGCCCAAGCACCTGTCAGAAAAGGTTGTTGGTATCACACGATCGCAGCAGCTTGCTAACAGATTTGTTACATGCCCAGAGAACAGTTGTGGTGATACTCGGCATCCGGTCCTGCAAGCTGAGACCTGATGCAGACATCTCAATGGCCTGCGTGCGGGACATTCCAGTTCTGGTGAGCGACGGATTTATGCCACCTGCCTGGATGCGGGTGAAAGTCCGACATGGTACCTTTGCCATGCAAAGGGCTTGGCCCCGCCGAGGCGAATCTTCCACCTCATCGAGGTTGCGCGTGCCTTGCCTCGAGTCCTCTCGAGTGGCTGAGCCATTCTTGTGCAGCAAGGCATGTTTCGAGAGTCAGACGCAGAGAGCTTTCCAAAAAGTCGCTCACATAATTCGACTCACCATCTCAGTTCGCATTTTCGTCACCATGATCTTCTTGCTTGTTGAGCCACTCAGTTGCAAAACTTGCACCAGCTTTGCCATGCAGAATCCCAATATTTGCATGCTCACCGAAATGCCATTCAGGAACCGATATGCCATTCTGCCCTTCGCAATCTATCCCATCCTCGCAGCACTTTGGATGATGTGGCGGAGACCACAGATGCAACTGCTCCAGGTGCTGGGATCCCTTGTTAGTTAGACTAGACGTGCTTCAATGCGGTGGCAGCAACACTGGGCACATTCAATGCTCCGTACAGGAGAAGAGGCTGCAATCGGACAATGCAGTTGTTCGAGGCCAGGCGATGAAGAGGGCATGGTCGCCTAGTGCAGTAGACAGACTCAGAGTAGGTGTGTTGCTTCTTCCGTCGTGAAGACATTATCGTCTAAGAAGTGTTTTTGTACTGCCCATGTATTTGCTGCAGCCTCTCTGTGATTTCACACGGAGAATCTGAGGTGTTCATCAAGCCTGCACGAATCAAGATCTCATCCAAGTGCCCTGGCATTGCAGTCGAATCTGTAACATGGTGTTTGTTCGGATTGCACGACATTTGTGAGGACGGTTCAGGCACCGAGGTATGAAAATCGTGAGCAGAAGCTTGGAAGCCTTGTTTACCAGGACTTCAAGAAGCGTTCAAAAGCCGTGGACCGGCCACTGGCACGCAACGAATTAGCTGAGCTTTCTTGTGGTACGACATGCCGGATGTTTGCAGCACGGCAATTCTGACGCGTGTTGACAGTGAGGTTCTGGGATTATGTTGTCGCGAACAGCTCCAGCAGAAGTGTGCCTCAGCGGGCAGAACTGCATGCCGTTCCGCACGTCCTGTGTGCCAGATGTGGGGGAAGACATGTTGCAGTGGACCCGCTTGAGCTAAGTCGCCGTTCTAGGTAATCAATGCTATCATCAGCTTTGGTAGATTGCAACTGCACAGGCCTGTTCGGTGTTCGATCTGAACAACAGCAGATTCTTTCCTTGGCTGACGCCACTCGGCCCATGCCCTTCGATGAACAGTTCACCGTTTCGAAAAGCCTTGCGCACATCTCAGGATGATTTCAATGGTGCTATATATTTTCTGGGGCGTGCAGCAGTTGCAGCAAGGCCTCGATTCCAAGTTTAAGCGTCCAGATTCCAGAATTCCGGGGGTCTCGAGCGCGGCGGAACCCCACGTGGCTCGCCACACGCCACACGCAGCTTCGCCTGGCATCCAGCCCGAACTGTCCAAAGCTTCCCGTCCTTCCCGTGCCCGGGCTGACGCTCTTGATGCAGGCCCCTGGCTGAAGGGATCCCAATCAGCAACTTCTTCCCAACTGCCTGAAAGCCACTGCTATAAACACAACCCTGCTGCCTGTGCCCTTGCAACGCGGAACCTTGATCCGAGCTCGAAGCGACTTGTTTGCGTCTGGGAAGGTGCTGCTGCGACGTGATATTACTTGTAGCTTTTTGTTTTGACAGATGTTCCCCAACCTCGCTGTACTGTGCAGAGGCGGCAGCTCCAGGGACCACTAGCGTCGCCACAGGTTTGCAAGCATTGCTTCAGCATGCCACTAGATTAGTGAGCTTGCCCGTAGTTCACTGTAGCATTCCTTGCCAAAGCCCAACTGATGCTCATGCTGTTGGCCCAAACAGGACGGCGTTGCCGGAATATCAATGGCTGGTGCGGTTGAGAGACCTCGAAAAACGGCGCAGACGGCATCCCTGCTTCATTCTCTTGTTCGTCACAGCAGCACAGGGGCCGGCCTTCCAGGTGATGTGCAACTTTGCCTTTCTTTCTACTGGACTACCCAAACCGCACAAACTGCTCGGGGAGCCTGAAACAAGGTGCAGGGGACCAGAAGAAGGTTTTGGGGGCGGTGGGCGGTGATGCACTGTCCCCATGATGCTCGCTGTGTTCGGGTGGTCTTCCTGATCTTCCTCTCACAAATGCGGTTTGCCGTTTCGAAATTATGATTGCGTGTCGCAGTCGAGTGGTCCTTCACGGGGAACCCTTTGGGGCATCTCACTGCGTGCACACCCCGACAGGCCGGTATCGGAAGCAAGTGTAGAGCTGAGTAGCTTTAGAACTTTGGATCCACATGCTCAAGGCGCACTTACTGCTTTGGCAGGTGAGTCCAGCGTGGGAACGTTTATGGCAACCTTCGGCATTTTTCAAGAAGTTGGCCATACAATGGAAACTGGCTACGACTCTCGCCCTGACGGATTCAACATGATTCAACTAGCTGCTTAGGTCACTGCTCAAGCCTTTCAAGCACAGGATGTTGGCTTAGTGTCGCCAGGGTTCTTCATGATTCTTCACACTCTTGTCAACCTCTTCTTTCGTAGACATCTCCACTGAGCTATTCCCGTTTGTCCCCCAAATCTTAAAAAGACAGAGCATCACGTTTAGAGCTAAACCTCTGCAGAAACATGCACGGTCCCTCTAGCATGTCCCGGTTTGCGCCGTCTGTATTTCCTGACTCGAGCTTGGACATGACCTGGACCCAGGACTCAGTCATTACAATGTTTCAGGTGCCTCGGCAAGGTTTCGAAAGGTAATTGCTAGATGCAGTCACGGGAGCCAAGGCATTCCACTTGGTGAAGGATTTGACCAAGCTCCTAAATGTGCCGACAGCAGCTTGGACACCAAAAAGTATCCAATAATCAAGTTTGTGTGTTGTTCATGGTTTGTTTGGGTCCTCCTCCTGGTCCATGTCACAGTCCTATGGTAGGACCTTAGGCAGGCAACCTTTTAGCACAAGCATCGGACTTCAAATTCACTGCAGCTCATCGCGCAAGGAGGTTTGGGGGCTCCTCGCGGTGCTGATTTTTGCTCTGTTTGAGCCCGGGAGATGGTTGACTTGTCGAGCTTGTTGTGTTACTGCTACCCAGCTCGCCACCCGACCCAGAATCTCAGAGCACTTGACAGCTTCCGCCGCTTCTGTCTTGTCATTCTCGCTTTGCGAATCCTAAAACGCTTAATCGTGCGTTTTGGTACTAACCACGCGCTGCTGTTCCAGAGTCCCGTGCAATGGCAAAGCTCAGCTCCCGCCCCACCTTCGCAGAAGCCAACCCGCCTCGGCCAAACCGGGCCAAGAAGCCGGCCTACACCATTTTTAAGACAGCTCAAGCGAAGAATATGATTCATGTGGTAACATGAGCCGATTTGAACACAGGCCAGGGCGAACCAAACCCTTCGAGACTTTCTACAGTTACAGTGAGATGGCCCACTGGGGATTACAAGTTTTCGCGATGCTATCGGTAGAAGTCTTTCAGTGGCCGGTGTGCGCTCGGGTGGGGGGGCAAGCCGAATTGCTGAGCCTAGAAGCCAAAACAAGACTCCCCCTCATCAACAAACTTATCCAAAACTAGCCCGGTAGCCGCTTCCAAACTGGTTGGGCACGAGACTGGGCACGAGCATCGCGAACAAGCAGATGCATGAGCACCAAACAGGTAAGTGGACGCAACAGAGTCAGGCAAGTAGCGCTGGTAGAATGTTGCTTCGACAAGTTGCAAGGATGACGAGGACCGAATGCAGGCGACCCGGCTTAGACTGCAGCGTGGCATCCAAGAGCGCGAGGAGTTGCAACGCTGCTTGGACCGGAGTTTATCGACTTTGATAGATCAAGCTGAGGCGGTGAGCAAAGTTGTGTACTCCTGCTGACTTGCTTTGATTTGCTCACTGGCGCATGCAGATAAAGCTTCAGGGTGATGCTGCGGTCTACGGAACTAGGAAGTCCCATGGTGAGGACCCGACGGTTGAAGATGTGGTCACTGTTGATTCTTGCAGTGATGCCATGTAACATGCATCATGCCGTTCGATAAATAGAGTTGCCGGGAGGGGGACCGGGTTCTTGCTGGGCGGCGCCGTCCTTGGGTCTAGTTATCCCACGCACGGTCACACGCTCACAGAGCTAGAGGGAGAGAGAGAGAGAGAGAGAGAAGACAGAGAAGAAGCAAGAGGCAGAGCTTTCAGATTGGCGTTGGTCACGACAGTTTCCTTCCTGGCCTCATCGCAGCAATTCATGCCTTCAGACAATAAATAATATAAAGAGACCAGGGCGCATGCATGAGCGGGGGTCAGGGTGTTCTCCCTCTTCTTGGCTGAGGGGAAGAAGAAGCGGCCGAGACACTCAAACTGCCAAGTTCATGTTGAGTAGTACTGTCTGTCGTCGTCATCGTCGTCGTATGGCAGATGTTGGAGAATGGGTGCTGCCCCCCCGTTCCGTGGGCCGTGGGCATAAGGTCTCGTTGGCCGCAGCTGCGCACACACATGCTTAGGCAGGGCAAGGGTGACTGCGACGAGCGACCGACAGAACCAGACCGAAATGTTCAGATTGTAGCAACGGGTGCAGGCATGTTGTGATGTGAAAAGCAAGAACACTGATCCTGGTGCCACAGGGGGCTCACCAACTAAGCTGGACACCAGGTGGGAGCCAGTCTTTCATGTAGGTAAGTCCACTGATCAGGCCGGATACCCCATCCACAACCTCAGCTTCTTTGCACACGGTAGGTTGTTGATGCCGTGTACCATTGTAGAATATCTGCACGTCATGTTGCATATCACCATGTGCAGGTGTGAACACATACAAACCCGCACACACACACACACACACACACACACATTCTCACAAGCAAGAGCCGCTCCTTCGCACCGAACTCTGCAACTTGTGCGACAGCCCGCCCTTCGCAGCACCAAACCGGTTCACCGTTCACCAGGAAGGCGCCAAGTGCACCTCACCACACAGTTCATACACGTTGCCTCGAAGCTCAACCTGCAGCGCCCCCTCAGATGCACGGTCCTATCGTGGACAGTGACAGACCATTCTGAGAGATTTGCTGGGATCCTATCTAAGGTAAGATGACAGCAGCTTGGATAGTTGGTCTTCGTTGGTTTGATCAACTGCTTCCTATTGGGCACATTCGAAGCAGGACTGTTCCGCTCCTGACGTGGTTGTGAAGACCATGCTGTCTCTAAGTGTGCAAGCCCAGGTTGGTTCTTCGCAGTATGTCGATGACTTGATCGATATGAAAATCATCAACGTCAAATACGTTGCTGGGCTATGCACCCATTCTACAAGTCAAGCTGATTCCAAGAGTTGCACATGCTTCGGGTTCAATAGCGGGCCTCAGAGGATACGAGGGATTTGGTCTGCTTGCTGTTGAGCCTGAAACAACCTGTTGGCATCTTGGCTGCAATTTTGCCCCACGAGGCCACGCAACAGCTGCAGAAATCCCTCAGCACCTCCGAAAACATTCTCGACGGAGTATCCTTCAGGATGCCGCAAGGCCGCTCGTCGATTCAGCTGACATGTCACGCTGGGTGAGATGAGTGCGAGCGATTCTTGCACAGATGTTCCGATTCGCCGATAGTAGCTGAGGCAAAGTGATCGTCGTGCAGGGCGACTGGTCAGCAAGATGCTGCACAAAGCTCTACGCCATAGATTGCTATCAGATTTGCTTTCTTGGCAGAAGTGAGCTGTATTGTGCGGCTCGATGCTGTTTGTAGGATCGCAATTGCCATATCTCGTCCGACACCTCCGCTGGCAGTTGACACGTCTTAGAAAAATGCGCATGCACCATCTCGACATGACACTTCCAGGTGGAGAGCGGCAGGCAGGCGCTTGCAGTGACAGCATAAGTTTCAGTTTGCACAGCACAGGCCAGACGACGAGACAGAGTGCGCAGGGTCGCTGTGTAGTCTACGAAGTCTCCCGTACCATGCTAAGCACAAATTTAAAGCAATTCGAGGGTGTGTCCAAGCTTGCCCGGCACGGTGTGGACATTTGGAGGGCAAGTCGACGCTGCTTCGGCTGATCGCTGGCGAACTACCCCCAACGAGCGGGGAGGTTTTCATTCCGCCTCATCTCACTGTGCTGCAGGCGCGGTCGGGCACTATGACTATGACACCCAACAACAATGCCAGTTGTCTAAAGTCTTGCTCTAAAGTTTTAAACTTGGATAGGTTCCATGAGGTGTCAGCTTCCCGTAGCTCAGTCATGAGATGTAAATGAAGACCCAATGCAGCCTCAATTTCGCCGTCCTGTCAGGTTCATGAAGCACCGTCGTTCATCCCTGGCAGTCTGAAGCGCAACCTCCTGTTCGGACTCCCGCTTGCTTTGGCCGACGATGGCAGTGCTTATGGTTTTGCAAACGACAGACCTATTTGGCATTCTGACTGCTGTGCATTTGTTCCGGCTCTTAGGAATCAGTGGTGGGGATGACGAGCAGATGCTGGTGCCTGGGAACAGACTGTTAGTTCAGAGTTCAGCAGTAGTTAAAGCCTTCGACATGTGACTGCAGGGCGACATCACTCGTGTGGTGGGCATCTGTGAGCGCCTGCGGATGGCTCAAAGCTTGATCAGCCGCCTGCATCAGGACACTCGGCGCGTTTTCGCGTGAAATACGGCCGGCAGGTTAAGGTGCAGTTGGCACAGCCTTGAACGTTGGCACATGAGGGCGGCTGTTAGCAGTCTGACTTCGCGCAGGACTGGATGTCGGGAGCAGATGAGGTGCGCAATTGCTGAGAAGTGCAATTGGTCGAGCAGGTTGAATGCACAGTGCCGTTGCGAATTAACGAAGCAAAACCGACAGGTCAACTCTATGGCCTAAGCGATCTGTCAGGATGACGATGAGTGGCTAAGCGCCTTGACATCTACCGACAAAATGACGATCCACCTGGCAAGAGCCTTCATCGCCAATCCTCACGTCCTGGAGTCTTGGCTTTTCAATGTTTACGGCTGGATGACTCAACTATCTTCCCATTGACTTGCAGTCCAGATTTATTGGTCTCTCCTACAAAACAAAAACAGCGAGCTGTTTGTTTGCGAAGACCAACCAGGGTATGAGAGTTTGTTGTCTTGCCAGGTGATGCACAAGCCGCTCATGCGCTTCTATCAGGAAGAGCTTCGGAAGGCTGCTAATTCAGACACCACCTTGTGTTAAGGGCGGCACCATCCAAGCGAGTATTCTTCGTTTTCCTTACCGATACAACTGCTGACATACTTTCCTCAGCAAGAGCTCTTTTTCTGAATAGGCAGGGGTCAGAGCTCATAGATAAGGAAGAAGTTTCCTGTTCGATGCATTGCAAAAAGTTGGGGACGCTTTTTTGTAAAGCATAGGAGGAACCCCACCAGAACTATGGAAGGACGCAGGGGCTCTCTTGCTTTTCTAGCCACAAGTTCTTGTAAAGACAGGCAGGGGCGTGGCACGTTTCCAATCAAGGACAAGAAGGACGTGTCCTCTCTACAACTGTGTTTACGATGTGTGTCGTGAGCTAGCTTTGTTCTATCTTTTCTGATGTGTTATACGTTATAACTTGTCTGATTTGTGTCTTTTCAAGCTTTGTTTTTGTTTTGTTCTAATTAGTTTCTGGATTTGCAGGTTCCCCATGGGCCCTTCTCTACAGGGCGTTCTTTTTGACAGGTCTTCTAGTTTTCCTGATTTTTTGCAACTTGTTTTCAGAATTTCTTCTTGGTCAATTTCCAATTCTAATCCTGGGGCCTGTGGCCTTGTTCTGACTGTTTGGAAATTTTTATTCGCTGAGGACTGCGTAGGACAAGTCGAGGAAGCGAACGACTTAACCATACTGTAGTGCTACCAAACTGTGACGACTCTCGTGCCTGATTGAGACGAAGACAGTCTGTAAGTTATGTGAACAGATGAAAGTCTTGTCGGTTCCCAAATCTAAGACTGAGAGTACCATTTCAGTTAGAACGTTCTCAAGGTTGTGCTAGCTAAGATTAGGATGGACGTTTGAGCTGATTTCAAGCTGGGAAGTGGTCATCAAGAACTGAGGGTGTCTTATCGAAATGCCTAAGGGCCAGCACTGTTTCTATCAAGCAGAAGCAGGTTTTCGTGTTTCCTCGTAAACAGAAGGGAAAAGCTTTGATTTCTTGCTAGCAAAGGTGGAAAGCAGATAGTCCTTTTCGTTCCTCCTGCAAGTAGATGATTTGACATCGCTCACTGTTGTGGTAGTATGATCATCATAGTTACATACTATGACATGCGAACATCATGCTTATGTATGGCATGACAAGCAGGTCATGTCATTCCACATGCATACATGCATGCAGGCATATATGCACATAGAGGGAGAAATTCCCTCGACAAGAAGAAGGGGAGAGAGAGACAGAGAGAGTCTTTAGGCCATTTTGGCTCAAGTGTCGCACCTTTGTTCTTGGGGGCCTGTTACGCCTCCTTGGGCATCGGGGGGGAGGCACGGGGTTAACCTTTGGTTGTGCCCTCAGGGGAGGGTGGCGCGCCAGTAAAGGGGAAGAGGCAGACTAGTTCACTGTGGAACCCGGAGGATCGGCCTGCACTACCTGTACTTCGACCTCAATGATGGCAAGCTCTCCGGCAGACTCCAGTAAATTGGGGATAAGAGGAAAGCAGTTCCAAACCGCAACGCGACCCCGCCGTCGAAGGTCAAGACGACGTTGGAGGAGCAAGGCAAGCTTGCAGAGAGACTTCGTGACCTGGGGATGTCCTGCAAAGCATGCCTAGAAGGGCCTTTTTGCCACAAGCCCCACGACAATGCGGACACGTGCTACAAGTACAAGGTCAGGCCAGCCTACCAGGGTGGGACGACCATGTGACTTGCGCAGAAAGATGGACGAGGACGATGCCAACAAACTACTCCCCCGCCCTTCCCCTCTCTTTGCCTCTTGCGCGTAGTAGTAGTAGTTGTAGTAGTAGTAGTAGTAGTAGTAGTAGTAGTACTCGTAACGTAGTCTTAGTAATAGTAGTTGTTGTTGTTGTAGAGGTAGTAGGAATATTCAAATAATCACAGTGACTACCTCCCTTTTCTCCCCGTCCCCTTGCCCTTTGTCTTGTCCATCTAGAACAGTAATAATGCTGTCCCCCCCAAACAAAAAGAATAATAACAATGCCCCCCCGCGCCCCTCTCCCTGCCCTTCGTGCTCGTCCCTAAACTGATAATAGTGGCTACGTTCCCCTGCCCCTCTCGTCCACCTTCCTTCATCCCCGTTGTCTTGTATTCAAAGGTACCTCGAAAGAACAATCATGGCTGCCCCCCAGCCCCGGGGTTCTTAAAAAGTTTCGGGTGCGCCCTCCATAGAGCCTCAGCTACTTCACTTCCACGTTGGTTGAGGCGGGTCCAGGTGTGGCGACCTGGAAGCGACTGAAGTCTGAAAAGCAATCCTCCCCAAAGGATGCCACAAACTAACCAAGAGAAAGACAAAGAGGTCCAGTCAAGAAAAATCAACATGAAAAGCAAGCCCACTGGGGCAAGGAGCCGCGCTACCCGACCCCGGCTTGCTGTGCTTTGCCTGCTGCTGCTGCTGCTGCTGCTGCTGCTGCTGCCGGCTGCTTCTGCTGTTGATGTGATGCCGCCACGTCGACAAGACCTTGCGCAAACAATCCTGAGAGACGAGATCTCCATCAGGCCCTTCGGGCCCCCTAATTCGATTAATATTCCTTCGCTTACTGCCATGGCCACGGCAGCGAACGTGGGGAATGGTTCCTGGGACGACCTTCGGCTGCACGTTAAGTGCCTTGCAACGTTTGGCGCTCGTAGGCTTTCCTAAGAGCACCTCTGCTTCTTTTGCCTCCTTGGAGCCTACCCACTGCTACCCGAGGGGTCCGAACGAGTTTCAACTGCTCATGCCCTTCGGGCAACGATGCTTGAGTGATCTGCACACTTTTCACAGCTGATGAAGCAGCATGGTCTGGATTTGGGGTTCGGCCGTGGTGTTGCGTATCATATGCTCCTTGAGTTGTGGGCTTACCCTCGGCTCCCGTAAAACTCCTCATAAAATCTTGAGAAAGAGAACGACCAAAAGACTTTGGAGACTGCAAACGCTGCATAAGACTTAAAGCCAGGTCCAATTGATTTGCAAGGAGTGCAGACGGACTGGGCTAGGTGAAGGCCAGAGACAACGACTGTCTTGGCCTAGATCCCGTGCCAGACTTGGAGCTTGGCTGTCAAGACGCAGGCAGAGTCGTGGCTTGCTTGTAGAGGGGCTACGGAAGAATCTCAGGCAGGCAAATGGGCTCACATGCCCAGACGTGCCTTCTCAGTGGGCCGAGTGCGTCTGAGGCACTGCCCTCACTCAGACTGTCCCAAGGAAGTTGTGGACGGTAGCAAGGCGCCGCCGGCCTCGAGCTCAGAGCAGCGTGCCAAGACCAAGTTTCGTCCAGCGCAGCGCAGGCACCCCGGGCTTGTCAGCTTTCCCTCTCCGTTTTGCTTCTCTGCAGCTGTAAACCTATGATCGAGCTGGCTTGGGATCCGCGCCAGGCTGTTCGCATAGGGGAGGCTTCCAACCCAGGCCCGGCTGTGCACAGACAAACTCTGAGAAAACGATTCCAGAAAGACATGTCGAGAATCAATCCGAACATCAGAACATCATGCAGCGGATCGTTGATCAGGTGGTCAGAGTCAGAGTCGTTGGTCAACAGGTGTATCTTGGTCTCACAGGAGGAAGGGAGCCTGAGCTCCCCGGCAAACCCATTATCGGCAGCACCTCCTGCCAACAACCACCAAGGATTCACCGGCGTCCATCATCGCAGGTTGGCCCCAGATCCTCTGTGTCCCCGTTGCCTCTCTCACGGGAGGCCGATGGGAAAGTGTGTCAAGCGGACAGCGCAACACGCTCGTAGGACACCTTAGAGTTCCCGAAGCCTTGGCGCACAAGGCTCAAGCAAACAGTGGACGCAGGAAAGCAGGGCACTCAGGAAAAGTTGCTTGGTCCAGGAACACAGACGTTGGTTCAGCGGAAGACAACTTTCGCGCTGCTCAGGCCTCAGCTAACGAGCAACAGCGACCCTTGAACACGCGGCAGGGCGGAACGCATGATTTAGGGTTCTCGGTGGTGTTTCGGATGCTGCCGATAGGGCTGGGCACTTCACCCGTCATGATGCGCCTAGGGCCTGGGATGAACATGATGTCCGTCAGTTCCTCGCTACCACTAACTGGCGAGACGTGGAAGTGTTGAACAGAAGGCGTGCTGCTCAGAAATCAGCCCCACCTGTCTGGCTTTTCAAGGTGTTGAAACCCGGAAGCTCGGACGAACACATCAGCTGAACGTTCGCCGGCGACATTGCAGACATTTTCCTTACCCTCACGAAGCAGGAAGGTCACAGGCCCAAAAAGGCCCCAAACCAGACCACGATGCTCCAGGCTCCTCACAAAAGATGAATGGATCGTAGTACCAACAAGGGTCCTCAACAAGAGCCTCCTGACACTCAGATTGATGAGGCTAGCGACGAAGAGGCCCCTGTTTAAGACTCCACCGCTGCCGCCAAAGCCAAAGCCACTAGGTCTCGTAGTAGGTCGGGAGAGAAACGTCAAAAAGCTGAGGCCCAACAGACTGTGCATCCTGATGAACTGCTCTTGCGTCAGCTTGACGGCCCGTGGCAGATCATGGACGAAGAAGGCGCAGGAGATTGCGCGTACCGGAGTGCGGCATTGGCCATTGCCGACGCACAAGACAAAGAGATTCCGGATGATATGATAAGCTCGTCAATGAGGGTATAGTCAACTCAGACTGCTCGCCGTCAGTCACCTGACGACACACAAGGCGGAGTATCAAGAAACGTGGTCCCCGGATCCTACTGACAGGGACGGGTGGGCCGACAGGGCCGACAGTGAGCCTCCGCAGGACTTCGCAACATATCTAAGGAAGTCCAAGTTGCCGGGGTCAGCAGAAGTGATGCTAATCTTCCAGAAATGGTTTGCTTCGGCACCTCTGTTGTTGATGTCCCTGAAGCTGAAACCGGCCCCCCATCATGGTCGCCGCTCATCCAGGACGTCCAGGAAGCCGGGGCCTGCACTGGCTCACTTGATTGGTACTCCGCAATCTGCATAACGTGTCTCTGCACTCCTCTGTGTATCTACTGGCCTGTGCTTGTTTCCGAGGCGGCCCCCCAGAGGACGCTGCAGGGCTAGTGCAAGCACTTCATCTGCTGAGGCCAGGCGATAAACTGCCACGCCAGGGGTCATTGCTTCTTGAGTTTTTGCAGCGGCGACTTCCGTTGCAAGGATAGGCCCAGCCCCACCGCCGGCCGCCAGCAGGACTGTACCGAAATGATCTGGCATTCATCACCTGTTACTGGGAGGCTAGACCTGTGCCTGGATCCCCGCAATTCCTTAGACCCAACGTGAGTGGATGGATCTTTGTGGACTTGCCACTCCCTCGTAAAGATCGTGCCAGTATTCAGGAGTGTGTGCATCCCTGGCATATTCAGCAGGTGCCGCAAGAGCCGCTACTACCTTCACCATTCTGCTAGTAAGTCTCGCCCGCTATGCCGATGCTGTGCAGGGGAGAAACAGCATCTACCTTCCTTCTCAGGCGATTGCCCACATATATTTCCCCAAATTTGTGTCAGCGGTTCATGACATCAGGTGGATGCCGTGTCGACTTGTTGAGGGCATTTGGGACCCACTCCTCCAAGCGGGCACCATGGTGTTTTTTCACTTGCTCTGGTCCAGCTCAGAGCTTGGCTCCCTAGTGAGGGGTTCGTCGTGGGTGCAGCTTCCCATATCGGTGCGGCCGCACAGCGAGGCTGGGCCTGCGGCCAACATCGGCCAACACACAGTGCGGGCCGACGGCTCTGACTGCGTTTTTGTATCCAGAGATGCCGTCAGGAGGCGGTATATCTGCTCACAGTATCGTTTGTATTTTCTTGACGCATATGCAATTCGCCTTGGCTGCCCCTCAATTGCCTGCGGACCCGAGTGGTTTTTGGCGCCAGACGTCGTACCACTTGCCAGGTCGCCGTTTTGTCATCCTCCCTTTCCGGCTTCCAGGCCTGCCGGACCTCCTTGCGGGCTTGCTTACCTCTTGCGCAAGAAGGCAGACTGATGGTGCCATGCTGTCATGATAGAGTGAGCTGAGAGGCGCATGCGGTCCCCCGTGCTTTGAGTTTGGGCTACCAGCGCAAAAAGGCGAAGTAGTGTGATCACGGCTTATTCCTGTGCGGTTCGCCGGAGGTCCCACATGTCTCTAACACTGCCTTCGACCCGAGCCAGTACCCCCGTGACCTTGGGAGTCGGACAGTGGCATGATAAAGAACTCTGCAATTCCATCCCTACATGCAGGCAGGCCCTCCCTATATGCCGCATGGTCGATGTCCATCAGAGCCGAAAGAGGATGGATTTTCGGACCACTCGGGGTCTGTGGAAAGAGCGAAGACAGGTATCCACGGCTCCCATGAGGGGGCGTGCACTGATGCAGCCGCGCGGGTGCGGATGAAGAAAACAGAGCCCGGTTCACTGGCGGGCTCGCTGTGGCCACGACCTCGTGTAGGGGGCGCTCCGCATCCTGGCGACCCTAGACGTTGCTCCATGAGGAGGTGGAGGGTTTGCCAGTTGACTCTTCATTGCTGCAACGCCAACAAGAGGGCATGTGGAAAGTTCTGCAACGAGTCGTGGACGGCCATGAAGTAGGCAGACAAAGCCTCCAAGAACGCCCATCCTCTCTGACATATTCCCTGCTGATTGGGCGTTTGAGACATCATGGAAGACCGTCGAGTCCGTCCGGAGCAAAAGGGGAGCGCCAAGAGCCACGACGGGCAGGCGGTGCGAGCTTGCAAAGCCCGGGATCCGCGAACAGTCCAAAATAGGCGTACCACAAAGGACGTTGCGTCTCCATACTGAAGCACCGCACGCATGTTCTCAGTTCATGTGAGGGGGGGCACACTTCCTGAACCTTAAAGTGGGGCTCTCGCAGCAAGCGCACGGCTTGCGGAGCCGGTAATTCAGTCATGTTTTTGCAGGCTTTTTACACGCAAGTTTCGGAAAGCAACTGGTAGGTCACACAGGTTAGGTCTTGAGTGAATGAGCGCATCTGTTTCGAAACGTTTTCAATGTCAGTGTTTGTTTTCACGTTGAGGTTTGGAGCAATAATCCCACGCGAAAGGTGGCACATTCCCTGCATTATCCCAAGCGCATTTTTTTGCTCTCGTAATCGCATCACACTTCTCACTGGTCCCGTATACAGCCTCCCATATGTTGGAAGGGGAATCAAGCTTTAGCTCAGCCCCAGAATTCCCAGGCTGTGGCATCAGCTTCACGAATGATGTAAGCTAGCCCATCTTTGCCTTGCCGCAGGGGGGTGGGGGGGTGGGGGAGGGACGGCAGGGCCTTTGCATTACAGTAGCAACATCTCTGGATTACGCCCTACCAGTTACGGGGGTGAGTCACTGAGCAGGGGATGAAAAGGTGGAAACAGGGAATGCTTGTGGGAACCTCTGACGGCTTCGGCAGGGGCCGAGGCGAATTTTATGATTCCCTGGTCACTGCTTCTGTTAAAACCCGCCTTTCTGATTGCTGTATCTCAGACTTGGCTTGGCCTTGCTGCTCGCGAGTTGACCTTTGATTACTGCCTTGTTCAAATCACGAACATAGAAGAGCTCACGGTTTTGTTCACGTTCTAACTATCGTGCCCTTGGCACTCCCTGTAGTCGCAGGCTACAATGCTGACCATCACAGAGTTTGTGAAGTACCGAGGCCGTGCCATTGTCAATAGCCAGGCATGTGCAGAGGGACCGAGGTTTAGGGAAGCCTGATTCCAATCGCAGTTGGTTCCTTGGCAGACAGCGAGTTTGCAAGATTCCGACTTTCCCCTTGAGATAGTTCAGCACAGCGAATCGACCAGCGCTTCGTGCTGTGCCGAATCGTACGGAGAACGTATGAAGTATGAAGATATATGAGGATGCAACGTGATGATGCTCTGATGCTGTGTCCAGGCCTCGGGCTTAACAATGCTCCAGATGAGATCACCAAGCGGCGAACGAGGACAGCATCTCAGCCGCACAACAACGGCCCGTTGCAGCTAAGACTGTCAAACTAGTCGAGCGGATTAAGAAATCAACCACTGCGGTGCCCTGGATTGAGGTTGTGCTTAGCCAGTTCCATTCGCTGGAGCTGGATCATGCGGAAATGGTTTTCCAGCTGAAGCAGCTTGGCCATCAGCACTTCAGCCGATGGAAAGACTCAAAAAAGCTTACAACAGAATGCAAGCTGGTCAAGCCTTCATGGGAACAATGCTGAGAGAGTTTTGGTTTGCAGAATGAATGTCGAGTGAGAGTGAGACAACAGGCAGACTAATATCAACATGGTATCCAGTTGCATTTATGATTCAATTCCTTCGCTTGCGCAGCCTGCGATCCAAGGAACGGCCAGGTCTTGCAAAACCAGGCACCTTGACATAAAGAAACTTGAGGTCCTCACATGACAGGAGACATACCAGCATGCATCCCGAAATGCACGAGCTGCTTGATCTGTTGCCAATCATGACCCTCACCTTCCGTGCATGTTCCAGTGTGGCACATCTCCTGCAGGGCCGTGTGTGTTCCTCGAGTGTTGCAGCCAAGAAGGCTTGTCCGCATCGATGTGCAGGTGGCACACGCAGACCACAAGTCGGCTCTTCAAGTTAAGAGCTGCGAGCGCAACGTCCTTTGGGCTTGGAAGGATCCAGAACAGGGCATTCGAATCCTCGACTCAACCGCAGATGGTCCAGCAAAAAAGATGGAGTGCCTGTCACAGCTTTTTCCATACTCCAGCCACAGGAGCGATGCCAAGAATACTCAACCCAGCAATATGGAGAAGATGGCATCGCACGGAGGAAACTAAAGCACAGGAGATCCCACGTCCTGTTCTTGAGCTGCGAAGATGTGAAGCTATTCTTGTCGAAAGTCTTTACTGTAACTTCCATTCTTGATTCCTCTTGAAGACTTCAACGAGCGGATCCCAACGGTGTCTTCAGAAAAACGAAGGTTTTGGCAGGACAGAGTGTCCCGGTGCAGGACAGCTCATACAAAGGCGATTACAGCTGCAAAGCTCGCAGGAGCTGGTGGGTTGGTTTCTCTCGTGTTTCTCCTGTCCTTCCGGTGCTGCCATGGAATACGTTTTTTCACAGACATCTTTCTTGCCTAATCCTTGAAAGCTGCTACATCACGACTGCATATCTCCATGGAAGAATTCGCGGGCAACAGATAGAGCTGCGAGCACGTTCTTCGTCTCCCGTACGGTGTTTATGCAGCCTTGTTTTGAGAAACAGACACATCTGGCCTTGATGTTAGAACATGCACCTTCTGCGCTCTTCCGTAGCCAGCAAGAGCACAACCATCGTCGAGACATAGTGATTTCGTGACATCCCTGGACCCCTTGGCATCCCTTGGCATTTGCCTCTTTCATGTCCATCACCGCACAACAGCGCAGCCCAGGCCCCGGCGCCAGGCACTACGAGCTGAAGGAAGTTTAATTGATCCAGCTGCTCTTAGATTTTGAGCCGCCAACGTTGCCGACCTTGTGCGCCCAAGGCTGAGTTCAAGCTAGCTCAACCCATTCCGCATGTTTCGAACACACAGCTGTCCATTTTGGAGCAGGGTGGCTGCATTTGCTGCAGAGAGTTGGGCTGCCAGAAAACAGGGTCAGCTTCCTTGAGCTATTCAGAAGATGCCGGAGAACGACGTCTTCAGGTCTGAAGATCGGCTTTACTTTGGCCATTTCCATTTCATGCGGTTGCAAGTGTTTTTTCTGTCGTAAATGGTCCTTCAGACCTGGCTCCGTGGCAGCGAAGATTGCACGGAGGTGACGCAGTTCTCAATTTTTCGACACTTGTACCTTGACACGCTCTCGGCATCTGGAACACTTCTGGGGGCAGATGGTCGAAGGGACAGTGACCTGTGACGCTGAAGTCGTTCACGCACCTTTCACAGACACCTCAAGTTGCACAGCACTGCCAGATAGCCTTCGAGCAGGTCTCAACATGGGCCGAGCGCATGTGTTTCCGTTGTCCAGTGCATCTCCGGGCGGTTCGATCATGACGTGTAACACCACTCGCTGAGCGAACCACAAGCACGGACTTGTTTCACCTGTGATTTCTCGTAGGCACTCTGCGTGAATGAGTTTGTAAAAATTGAGTCGAGAGCGAACGGAAAGTTTCGGTTTGCAGAAAACAGGCATGTCCAGGCGACTCTCATACATTGCTTCATATTGCTGCACTGTACGAGCCAGGTACTTTGGAGCCATGCGAACCTTGCTAAGATCGACCCTCAGCTTGGGCTTTAGGCTAGACCTACTGGAAGTCTTGTGCAGCGGCCGTGCGAAGATCTACGACAAGTGGCAGCGGCGTTTGACGAGAAGAGAAACTATGCAGCTGGAGCTAAGGGGGGGACACAGACCTGTTTTGTGTCAGTGCTTGGAATGACAACGGTCCGTGACCTCAGACTACCTCGAAGCCGGGCCTGTTCAAGGGTTGATTAAAACGTGGCCGTGCCGTTTCCAAGGGGGCTGTTTGCATGTGAAGGGTTTCCCCTGTGCCTCATGCTTGACCCGGTCCCTCACATCGCACGGCAAGGGCCGGCAGCTAGTCTGAGGTTACTCCACCCTCGTCCAGGACCCCAAGGTCGCCTACCGAACGGCCTCTTGCTTACAGGGTAGCTCGACAGCTCATGTTCATCCTGATGCAGAACTTCCGTTTCCAACCCGGGCGAAGTGTCCAGGATTTCTTCCCCGGCCTCGGATGGATGATGGTCAGATCCCGAGCATGTCTTCAATTTGTCTGCAACCGAACTGCCACGAACCACGAACCGAACCGCAGGGAACCGAGAGCAAGTGCGAGCCGAACCGAACCATGCCACAAACCAAACCGGAACTGCAAGCACAGCATATGTTTGAGGGGTGCAAGCCTAAACCTGAAAGCCTGAGCATTCCAAAGCCTCTTTCCACTCTGTAAACCGGCCGCGCCCGATGCAGTCTGTCCGAGCCGTCCCAAAGCCTTTTTCCTCGCGTCGGGCTAGGGCGGTTTAGATTTTGGGCCGTGGGATGCATTCCGCGGCCCGGTTGTGCTAACCTGGGCAGACGGCATGTCGTGGTGCTCGAGGTCCGTCCGCCCAGGAAAGAAATGCCAGCTGAAATTCGGCTGCATGCTTGTAGTTCCTGAGCCGGTCCCTAATCCTCCTATAGGACCATGGACCAGGGAACCTGCATCCCTCAACAACAAACAACCGCGGGACCGAAAAGGCGAACCGCACGAATCGAACCGCCGCGAACCGCTCACCGGTGCCAAGCAAATCACGCGGACCGAACCGAACCGCGAGTTCGCTGCGTCACTGCCAGAAGAAGACGGCCTGCCATGTCAGATCGAGATTCGTTGGCCTCCTCTTTGTGATGCATTGGCCCGGTGCTGGTTCTGGTGGTTTGTGGTTTGCTGCAGGATCGCGACCTTTGGGGCGAGCTCCGCAACCGCTGGGCGGTGCGCAAGTTTCCAAGAACTCTGGGAGCATGTCTGCGTTTTATTCCCTGCTTGCCGCAGCAAGTCGCAGCAATCGTCTTGGCAACCCCATGTCCTGACATTGATAGGCTTGTTGCGAACGATTGCGAACATGGCTGCACTGCGCTGCTCAAGCACAAGCCAGCAGCCTCGTTGGCAGAGTCCAGAGTGCCGAAGAAGTGAAAGCGAGCAGCAGTTCGACAGCAAGGTCAATGTGCAAGGCGGTAACCCTCATGGAGCCATGCGGCGAACTGCTACGGCTTTGTTCCATGTCGCCCCAGTCATCGCATGGAGCAGGCCCGCGGCGCAGGTTTTTTAGTACGGTTCTTGGTAGATCTTGGTAGTGCTTGCCATGCATTTCTCTTGGAGTAAGGCATACACATTCGGACGCATGCATGAAGAATCTCCCCAGGCTCAAGTTGCAGCACTGGTTCTGGCAAGCTCATCTATCGGAAAATGAAACTTTGTAGTCGGTGCTTTTCGAGATCTTCGAGACTCCTCGGGCTGCAAAGACCGGTGTCAAGATGAAGTCGCGACGAACACAGACTTCAGATGATCCCCTGAGCACTGCAAATTCGGCCTAAGCCATGGAGATACGGTACCAGAGTCCACAAATCTCCAGCAAATCCCAGCGCAATGCAAGTGGCATACACTTTTCGGTAGTCAACCACGTGTGCCCCCTGACGAGGATCGAGAAGGACCAATCATCCGTCTTCTGTCAAGACTTCACGAGCTTTCACCGCCTCAGGCCTCCTTTGGCCGTCTCGTCAGATCTTGTTTGAGATTGGAAGGAATATATGTGACCGCAGCGTTCGCACCTACACATCCTAACGTGAAGAATTGATGCATGGCTGTAGAGCCGGACGAGGCTGGATGCAAGATTGACGTATGCTGATTTCCGCTGAACCCCACCACTGCCCGTGTTCTCTCACATTCCTGGGATCTGTGAGGGCTACGGCAAGCCCGGAGAGTGAGAAGAGGAAGCTGTCACAGCGCCAGACACCTGGAGTCGACATTGTCAGCAGCGAGAGAATCACTTAAAGCTTGAACAACGGTAAGCTTCTTCGCAGAAGTCAACTGTTGGCTCTCAGCTTTCCATTTCCAAGTGCCTTGCCTGCTGCCGCGCTGTCTGCACGGTACTGCACTGGCTGCAATGGTTTTGGAACACGTTGGGGGGATAGTGATGTGGTTCCTGCTGTGCTTATCGCGATCCTGCTGGAGCGTGGCTTGATATTGCAGTCATGCTTTGCGTTGCAAGAGAGGTTCAGAGGCTCTGGATGCTTTCGACAACCCTCCACCCGTGTCATGGCACCAGCAAACACGCCAGTTGGAGCAAATTGCTGCGGCAAATCTGCGAACATGTTCGAACGTTTTCTGGTTGGAGTCATCGCAAGCATCAGATCGTAGCGCAATGCACATTCGCCTGCAGTAAGGTTTGATAAAGCACACGGACTTTGTGTACCGCTGCTTAAGCCACGGTCAGCTGGAAGATTTCTACTCGCTCGGCAAGGAGTCGTCGGGAGGGTTGTTGTGACGAACCTGGCCACCCTGGCCTAATAATGAAACCGCGAGTGGGAAGGAACTAGGTTTCGGCTCCTTCGGCACCATTTACTTGGCTCAGCATAAGGCAGGGGTCACGGCGCCGGCTTTCACGTGCGACCTGACACATGTTTCCAGATGCTGGGGCACGGCTTTGCTTTTGCGGCACAGAGCTCAGAATTCCGCTTGCTCCCAGTGCGAAAGCAGACACTCAGTCTGCAGTAGTGAAGGTCAAGAAGATCCGCAAGTCTGAGAATGATGAAAAGTTGTACGGATCTCAGGCATCTTATCTTTAAGACTGTTGAAGTATGCATCACTGCAGGCAAGAGCTTCTCATGAACGAGATTCATGCCTTGATGGACCTAGACCATCCCAACGTGGCCACTGGGACCAGAAAGGGGTTGTGTACCGTCGGAATCATTGCGCTCGTTACTTCAGTTGATGCTGAAAGCGCATGATTTGCTGTTCTCTTCCAGTGTTTGCCACGGAGCCGGTTGAGATTTTCTGGCCTTCTCCGGCTGCACTGTTGCCGAACGAGGTCAAGCTGCTCAGGTACTTCGATGAGGGCAGCTACATGTACCTCGTTTTCGAACTTTGTCAAGGCAAGGTTGGAAACACGGAGCCGAAACTGCTAATGAGGCAGCTGTGTATGCCACGACACGAACTCAACCAAAGGTCCAGATCTGCAAACACGGCTTGAGAATGAGGGCCGGGTCGAGGAGAAGGAGGCCAGCACATTCCTGTTGTCCCCCACGTAGCATGGACGACTGGAAGATGACCCCAGGCGGCAAACACCATGCGGCAAATGCTGGCCGCTCTAAAATGCTGCCACGAGCATTACATTGGGCACTTTGATGTGAAGCCGGAGACGCCGTGTTTGCATAAGTGTTTCACTCTAGACTCTAGTCGTACAAGTGCTTTAGGAAGCAGGGTTTTATTTTGTTGACCGTTGCTTTTTATTGCCGAATCTTTGGCCCGAAGGCGCCCCTTAAGCTTTACTCCCAGGGCGCGACCAAAGCAAAGATAATGTGTCCCAAGCAGCTCTTGCATTCTATTGCCCGTTTATGAGACGGCCGGCAGAAACTGTTTCCATGAACAATTCCCCGACAAAGGCTGTTCACTTCGCATGGACTTCTGCCTTGAGTCACTGTGCTGAGGAATTTCATCTACCGCAGCACCGCACGAGGCTCAAATGGCGGACACGGGCTGGACGCATTTATGTTCGCTAATCACAGCTCTCGTAGAGACCAAGGATATGACTAGGCTGAAGATGATCGACTTGGGCCTCGCGACCCGGTTCAAACGAAGCTACTTGTCATGTTTGGAGACCGAGGCTGAGCGTCTTTGCTGGACATGCAACTCCGTTTCGAAGAACGAGAAAGCTTGGGTCTGTTTCTCCCTGTTTCTCTTGACAGCAAAAAGCAGTCACTAGTGCAAGTGTACAGTTTGTGAAAGTCGCCCCCTGAAGTGCCGTTGGATTGGTGATGGTGACCGTGGATCCTGTGTTGGAGTCTGATCAGAGCTACAGGTGTCAACCACCATTTCCATGAGCTTGAATACGAGGTCGGAAGGAGATCCGAGGAACGAGCGCATACATGGCGCCAGAGATGTGGGACCCCTGGATGGACAAAGTCGGCTTTCTTGAGATGCCAGCTCAGCTGCGCGTTTGGACGGCGAGATGCTATATGAGGATAAAAACGATTTGCACGGACAGATGTTCAATATAACATAATATAAGTATAAGGAAGCTGTTGTTCGGCAGTTACTTCAGGATGGCTTCTTTGGACCAGAAGCTGACAGCTGGGGCTGCGGTGCCGTTTTCTTCAACCTGCTCACAGGCAGATTGGGATCTGTTCCTGGTGTTGCAGACCTCGAACTGTCGGGAAGCAAGGTTCTTGCAGGTCTACGAGTTTTCCATGCTTTGCAAAGTGGGCTCACGAGCTGGTTCGTACTGGTCTCGCAAGTGCCGAAATCAGTGCACGTTCAACCAGCTGCGTGCCGGTTTTCACTCACAGTTTCTGAGGCAAGTCCTTCTTTCCGCCAACGATGGGGGATGATGACATAAAGATCCTCGCAAAAGACCGGAAGTGGGTGCGGAACAGGCGAGCTGCTCATAGGAATTCGGAACGCCAGGACTTGTCCTCAACAGTCACAGGCATGGCATGCAAAGGCCGTTGCTTCTGCATGCCTTACGAAAGAAAAAAGAGGAGAGAGAGAGAGAGAGAGAAAGAGAGAGACTGAAGCGGAACTACCCCTTCCCCCTGGCCCTGGCGAACGAAAGCAGGAAAGAGCGAGAGTGAGTAACCATTTTGGCTCAAGTGCCTGCACCTCTTTTACACTTTGCTCAAAGCATCCCGCCGAGGCAGCCCCTTCGTTGCTAGTAAGACCTCTGAGGATATATGGGGGATCGGGCCGTCCCCACGAGCAAGTCCTCTTGACCGGCTGCTCGTTTCGGCGACAGGTGGCCTCCTCGTACCGGGGGCACATACTGAGCAACTTGCCAAAAAACATGGAGGGGCAGATGCAGAACGAGCCGTTCATTCCACAGAGCCATCTTCCTTGGCGAAGCAAGGTGCGCAGCCTTAGAGTCAAGGTGGAGAGGATGGGGCGGCAAGATCAGTAAGGACTTTGCATGAGCGAATGTCCGAGTACTGAGGTCGCAGTAATATGCTTGCATGCTGAGTGAGAAACGCAGCTTCCACTAAACCCTCTCGACTGCCGTGCCAAACCCAATAATGGGATGCGGAACGTCCCCATCAATTGGGAACCCATGAATCATTAAGCCACCCAATCCGGTGGACAATCTTCGTTTCTGTTCAAGGCACGTTGCCCCTTCCATCAAAGCCCGATTGGGGGATGAGGCCCAACTCGCCTAAAGATCTTAGGAGATATCGCGCCAACCTCCTATGGCCACAGTGCTGCAGCAGGGTGTATGCTTCGAGGCTGGTAGGGGGTTTGATGGTTTGATTACCTTAAAAGGGTTTGCAACAAGCTAATGGAAGGAAGCTGCTTTTGCTCCCAGCCTACGCCACTAGGCCCAGGCGCCGTGATCGCCAATCTATGGTGCTCCTATCGGTATGACTTAACTTGAACCTGATGGATGTTCCGCCACTGTGCTGAAACGAACAAGAAGATGCACCTCGTTTTGTACGTGGATACTTGGGTCCTTCTTTTGGGTCACACCGCGCGGTGTCTGTGTGCATGCCAAAACTTCGAGCCTATGTCGGCCTATGTGCTACCGCTGCTCTCACTTCTGGGTGCCTCCCATTACAACCCCTCGCCATGATTTTTCCTCCTCGTGGTGTCCCCTTTCACATTCGGTTGACGTGCAGTGCCGGCAATGTTGTGGTCCCATTGGTTGGGCCTCACCGTCGCAGTTCGAGGACCTCCTTCTTTGGACCTTTGCCAAAGATTGCCAAAGCAGTCATGACCTTGTCATTGTCACTCTCGGGCCAACTCTTTCGAGGGGGGCCGAGGTCGGTTCCCAACCCCCAACCTCAAGGTCCCTTACCCCCCTCAGGGGATGGCGAAACCTATGAAAAAAATGGCAATGTACTGAATCTCTATTACAAAGCCATTGGCAGAGGACCGGTCCCCAGCAAAGGTTTGTCTCTCTGTTAAAGAAGCAAGCAAAAGCAAAGACTGCAGCCACAGTCGGGCCCGGCCCGGAGGCTTGCTGTAGATGTGGTCCCTTTTATGAATCTGGTTCGGTGTGCTGCCGGGCAGGCCCCGTAAGGGGTAGCTCAGGACAGAATGAAAAATTGTTTCTTTGAGTAAGCGAATTAATAAGCAAGCCTAGCTTTCTGAGGAGCCTGAACTTCTGGAAAAAGCTTGGGCTCTAATAAGAAAACCTAGCTCTCTGAGAAGCTGAACTTTTGGAAAAAGCTTGGGCTCGGAGGGCAGCTGCTGCTGAGGGAAAGGACCGGTCCCCAGCAAAGACTGCAGCCACAATCGGGCCCGGCCCGGAGGCTTGCTATAAATGCGGTCCCACTAGGAAGGTCCTTGGCTGCCAGAGAGACTTTACTAAATATATAAACTTGCAAGTAAGGTTGCCAGTGGCTCTGCCGNNTGTCTGTGATGAACTCGTTACTCGAGGCAGCAGAGCGGCCCGAGCGGCTCAGCTGGGCCTTCGCAGTCTCCACCTGCTGGGCAACCTCAAGGGGCTTCCTCTGAGACTTTGAAGATGTTGCAAGAGCAGAACAAAGAGCTGCAGCAGAGGTTCGAAAACATGAGGCAGCAGCAGGAAACCTTGCAGGCTCAGCAAAGAGCCAAGCGGGAACGGGTCCGCTCGCTGCTTCAGGCTCTTGCCGATGAGGACGATGAAGAGGACGTCCAGATCGTGGAGCCGGCGGGGGAAGAGGAGGAAGAAGAGTGGCCTGATCTTAGCTTTGCTCCGGCGGCAAAGAA